AAAAAAAAAAAAAAAAAAAAAAAAAAGCTATTCTACTGAACTATTAAAACTCATCAGTGAGGGGCGCCTGGGTGACTCCATCGGTTAAGCGTCCAACTTCGGCTCAGGTCATGATCTCACAGTTCTCGGGTTCGAGCCCCGCATTGGGCTCCATGCTGACAGCTCAGAGCCTGGAGCCTGCTTCAGATTCTGTGTCTCCCTGTTGCTCTGCTCCAACTCCACTCGCACTCTTTCTCTCTCTCTCTCTCAAAAATAAATAAACATTTTAAAAAATTAAAAAAGACCAACAATTCAGCAATGATATCGCAATTACCAAATCTATTGGCGTTTTTCAAGCCCCGGCTTCCTTCCTGGTAGCACTGAGCTCCAGTTATTTTCGCCTTTTAGGTTTTACTCTGTGCCATCTTTTCTGCTCCTGTAGCTTCAACTATGACCTTTCTGGCAATAACAAATTTTATCTTTAGCTCTGAGATTTCTCTTGAGATCCCAACAAGTATCACTTGGGATCTTCCTGGTACATTAAAAAAATACACCTCTCTTCCTGACCACCACCAAGACACATAGCTGAGCCTGCTTTTGCTCTTATGAGTTTTATTTTCAGAATTATAGTAAATCAGATTATCCAAAGCCAGAGACCAGGAGCTTATAATCTTATGGGAGGTAGTACGTGTTTATAACCTTGAGCCTGAAAATGTTCTCTTTGGCTCCCATATCCAATCCAAGCAATTTACCCCTTGCCGGGCACTTTGTATGCCACATAGCCCAGGACATGTGCACTTTCACTGAGCCGGGTTCTTCTAGGTCTCCATGACTGCTTGTCATCATAGCTGAGAGGCATTACATGTGCACTGGACGGAGACAAGTTTGCATGAGCCTCGATATTTAATAAGCACTATTTGTTGAGTACTTGTTTTGTGTCAGACACTGTGTGAAGCCCTTTGCATGTCTTATCATGTTTAATTCTTAATGGCATTATATTGTAGTCACCCTTGCTAGTCTGACTTTACAGATGTGCAAACTGAGGCAGAGAGAAATCAAGAGGAAGCAATTTGCCTAAGATCCCAGAAGAGGATAGGTTGAGGATTCCATCCTGGGAAGTCAGATTCCTGAGCCCAGATTCCAGAGCCCACATTCTCAACTACTTAGTTACACTGCTTCTCCACTAGATATTTTTTAATTAAAAAAAATTTTTTTAATGTTTTATTTCTGAGTGAGAGAGGCAGCGTGAGCAGGGAAGGGTCAGAGAGAGAGGGAGACAAAGAATTCGAAGCAATCTCCAGGCTCTGAGCTAGCTGTCAGCACAGAGCCCGATGCGGGGCTCCAACCCACGAACCGCGAGACCATGACCTGAGCCAAAGTCGGACGCTTAACTGACTGAGCCACCCAGGCTCCCCAGGATTATTGCTCATTAAAAGATGTTGCTTGAGATGGCCCATGATTTAGATAATAAACTCACTGAAATGGAGTGATTTCTCTTTCTTTTTCGCTTTACTATTTTATTTTATTTTATTTTATTTTATTTTATTTTATTTTATTTTATTTTAGAGCATACGCAAGTGGGGGAGAGGCGTAGAGGTAGAGAGAGAGAGAATCCCAAGTATGCTCCACACTCAGTGTGGAAGCTGACATAGGATTCGATCCCATGGCCCTGAGATCATGACCTGAGCCAAAATCAAGAGTCAGATGCTCCACTAACTGAGCCACCCAGGCACCTCTCTTCCTTTGTATTTTATTATTATTTTTTAAATGTTTATTTATTTACTTCGAGGTGGGGAGGGACAGAGACAGAGGGAGAGAGAGAATCCCTGTGCTCACAGTGCAGAGCTGAATTCAGGGCTCAGTGTTGTGAACTATGAGATCATGACCTGAGCCAAAATCAAAAGTCAGATGCCCCTTCCTTTCTATTTCTAATTACCAAAGACTAACTGTGCACAACTGCTTTGAATGAGGAGCCAGGATACAAAGTGTAGAACTGAAAATGGGTGGCCTGAATAACTCTCGGGTTGGAGAACTAGAATAGAGAGACCAAGAGGAAGGTCATCAATCCACAAGGAGTTCTCTCTCCAGTACATAGCGTCTGGTGCAAGGCACAACACGGAGAGCAAGAGCAATAATTTACCCTTCTGAAAGAGCTTGCAACCTGGCCATTGTTATACCTAATTGGTCTGTTAAGGAAAGTGCAGAGAGACATTAGATAGGTGAGATGGGCATGTAGCCTTGAAAACACCTGAGTTTGTTAATTGTGGAAACTCTGTAGGCAAGGAAGTTTTCCCTATTGAGCCACAGGTGAAGAGATGCAACCTCCTTGCCTCAGGGCTAAGTCTTTATGCTAAGGAATCACCAAAAGAATCACTCCTGGGGGTGCCTGGGTGGCTCAGTTTGTTAAGCATCCATCCTTAGCTCAGGTCATAATCTCACAGCTTGTGGGTTTGAGACCAGCATGGGGCTCTGTGCTGACAGCTCAGAGCCCAGAGCCTGCTTCTAATTCTGTGTCTTCCTCCCTCTCTGCCTCTCCCCTTGCTTGCTCTCTCTCTTAAAAATAAACATTAAAGAAATTAGTCCTGGGGCATCTGGGTGGCTCAGTCAGTTAAGCACCTGACTTTGGCTCAGGTCATGATCTTAAGGTTCATAGGTTGGAGCCCCACATCGGGCTCTGTGCTGACAGCTAGCTCAGAACCTGGAGACTGCTTCGAATTCTTTGTCTCTCTCTCTCTCTGACCCTCCCCTGCTCATGCTGTCTCTCTTTCTCTCAGAAATAAATGAAAACATTAAATTTTTTTAATTAGTCCTGTTAATATAAAAAGATCAAATCATCTCAAAGCTTTTATAAAATCCTTGCCATGTTTAAAATTCTCCCACAGTTGCCTTCATACTGGCCGTAAGCTTATTTGCCTGGTCCAAATGGTTTCATCCAATCAACAGATATCTGTTGAACCCATCATCTGTGTTCAATACTCCAGGAGTTGTGTGTTGGCTGAGAAGGCTAGCCCTGGGGTTGGCCAGCCAGGGTTCAATTTCTCTCTCTACCACTTTCTAGGTGAGTGATTTGGGCAATTTAATTATTATAAGGTAATTTTAATAATAGCTATCATAAGGACACAAACACTGCTTCTTGGAATTTATAAGCTAGCAGGGTCATAATGACTAACAGTTTTGAGAACAGGCATTGTTAAGAAATTTGTATATATGATCTCATTTAATCCCCACAGCAATCTTATAGCTCCTTCCTGCTATTATTCTATTTATTTTATTTTTTGAGAGAGAGAGAGCATGCCAGTGGGGGAGAGGGGCAGAGAGTGAGAGAGAGAGAGAGAGAGAGAGAGAGAGAGAGAGAGAATCTTAAGCAGGCTTCACACTCAGCAAGGAACCCGATGCAAGACTCAATCCCATAATCCTTGGATCGTGACCTGATCTGAAACCAAGAGTCAGACGCTCTACTGACTGATGCACCAGCTGCCCCTCCTGCTATTATTCCATTTTACAGATGAAGAAACTGAAGGTTCAAAAGGCTAGGTGGCCATTGTTACAGATCTGGAATTTGATCCCCATTTGGTTTGACCCTATAGCCTGAGCTCTTAACAATTTCATACTACTAACCTATTCATAATAATAACTAAATTATTCTGATTTTTCCAAATACTTATCTTTTTCCCTTTTGATTGCTGACTACTAAAATGTATATATGAAGTTCAGTGAACAGTGTCTAGCAACCTGCACATTTTCAATGCTTGAATTGTCTTAGAATGTAAATTGCTGAAGGCCAGAATGTGATCACTTTCCTGACCTTATCTTGGGTCTCACTCCATATGATCTCTCAGGCATTCAATAGATACTTTTTAAAAAAAAAAACAAACAATGATTATTTTTGGCAATATTGGTTATTTGGACAGCATTTTGTTCTTGATCAGGGTGATGATATTTTGAGGGCAAAGAACAGCACTGAAAGTAGAGATTTAGGAATCTGGGACTTGGGGAGATAAGATAATCAAAACTTCTACTCTAGAAGGAATGAAGTGTTCATCGTAGTGGTTGATGAAAGATTTGGCACATAGAAAGTTCAAGTTTCAGATGTCCATCTCAAGAGCTACTACTCAAGGCAATTGACAGAGATTGAAGAGTGCAGGATGCTAGAGAATTTTCTTTCTTCCTTTGTGAGAAAATTGATGTTCTCTACATACTAATTAAATTTACATGCACCATTACTTCCTAAGGCTTCAAGTGTAGGGATTAATGTTGAGTGATTACAGTACCTCCGCATGCTTTCCATCACATCTTAAAATGGCTCTTTTGTCTGATGGACTAGGATGTATGGGGCAGGCGAGCTGATTTTCTGTTTCCAAATGCAGGACTCTGGGGTTCTGTGAACACACCAGTTAATCTGTCAATGTCCCTTTCTTTACAGGAACAAAATAGGAATGATTACACTTGCCATAACCCCAGTTGGAAGATTAATGACATGACATTTGACCATCTGGTTACAGTTTTTAAGTGGGAATTGCTAAATAGAGATACAAACTGGCGATATTTTATTTGGGGCCAAGTGATCTCAATTGCCCTCAAACTATAGAAGAGATATGACTACTTACACTTAGGAAAGCAGCTACATTTTTAAAAAGCTACATGTTCTTGAAGTTTTGTGTGTGTGTTTTTTTAAGGAATGTTTGGAATAGAAAGGGAACAGATCTACGTAAAAGTGAAAATATGCTTAGTCTAAGGTTGTCTGGAAAACGTAATCAGGAATTATTCCAAAAAAGGATGCACAGTTCCTGCTTGGGAGAAGAGAGAAAGATAAGCAAGGCATGGTTTAATAGAAAATTCTTGAGAGACTGATGTGTTGCAGGCTGCCCCTCAGCTGCCATCCTGGCCAGGTACCTACAAGGAATAGTGCCCAGGGCGCCCACCCTCCTCACCCCACCGCACTTGGGACCCAGTCACAACTGAATGAAAACTGACAACAGGGAGACTTCTTTGGCCCCATCAGCTGGACAATCCTCCCCTGATGTCCTCCAGATGGTTCCTTGGAAGGCCGCCGGTAACAGAGTGCCAACAGTCCTTAGTATTCTTTCCAACAATAAATGGGACCCCTACTATATTAAGTGATTGATGCAGAGAGTTTTGCTGGCTCCTTCCACCTGCTCACTCACCCTTCCTGGGCTCCTCACCTGTAGCCCGGAAGCTCCAGGCACACTTCAGGGAGAACCAACAAAAGGGGACAATGGAGAAAAACCACTGAAAATGGTGGCTTATTACATCGCTGTGGGTGCCTGTGAACTGTTTAGAGGGTTCTGCTTCTGGTGGAATGCTCTGCTCTAACTTTGGGAGAAGATTTAGGGAGAAGGGCAGGTCATTCTTAAAGCCATTGACCAGATATCTAATGAGGCCAGAGCCAGAAAAATAGACATCTGCAATGTCTCTCCTTCAACTTCTACCAATTTTGTGGGATGACTTTTGTGGTTTTCTAGACTTGGGATTGTTCTCTTAGTTCTAAAAGCCCACAGTGAAAATCTGTGTCAGTATCTAGGACAATCCCTGGTATAGGGTAGATTCTCAAATAGGTGCTGAATGAATGAATGGGGACCCTTCCTCCCCAGAAGTATGGTGCAAGTTCGGAGCAAGTGCCAAAGTTGGTGAAAGACCTCTACCCAGGGAGCATTGGCCCTCACTGTGGAGGGCTAAACTTCTTGTTTTCCTTTGGTTTAAATGCTGTGTTGCAAATATCAGAGGCTTTGATCTCTAGATAACTTACATGGGCAGGGAGGTGCCAAAGAAGGAGGGGTGTCACTGTGCAATGATTGTAACACACGTGCTGAGCATGACCTTGGCGCCTGGCACTGTGTGCAGCACATTGCCTACATTTTGTCCTACCTCAGTCCCCTGTGATGCCAGGCCACATATTCAAGGGCAGGCTGCCTTTTCCAGGGCCTTCTGAAGGAATGTGATTGATGTGTCTATACCTCATAATTCTCTATATTATCTAAATATCTAAGCAAAATACTGTAGACCCATTTAATTTTAATTTTTGCAGATTAAAGATGTCTTCTCCCAAATGTCACCCAGGGATAAATAAGGCTATAAAACCAAGCTTCATCTTTTGTTCAAGAGTATGCCCAAACACCAGGCATCCTACTGAATTGATCTGACCTATAATAACTGATAAGTAGAGGCTGGTAAGAGACTTGGGAATCCATGAGTCTATTTTCATTTGGTTTCGCCAAATTTAATGCTTGATACATTTTTGAGATAGCGAACATTTTGTCTACCTGAAAAGGCAGCCAGAGATGAAACTTGAGAGTGACATGAACAATTCACGTCTTTGGCTGACATCAGCATCCTGTTACTGCTCCATAGGGCGCTCAGTGTCACCGGGGGCCTGGCATGCATGTGCATGACAGTGGCCATTGCAACACCTTTAAAAGACTTTCAAAATGGACATGTTTGCATGGGGCACATTAAACCAGTTTGGAAGACTAAAAATCCCGAGGTAACCTGGTGTCCTGGGGGTTTCTGATTTTCTCTTCCTTTTTCAGAGGCTCAGTGTTAATGAATGGCTGTGTGGCAGATAACCAGTAGACTGGTCTTGCGGAAAAACTAATTTAATAAAGAAAAGGATGTAATGCATAAATGCTGTAGAGCAAGACAGAATACAGCTGGGGACACTCAACGAGAGACCTAATCATAAAAATGAGACCAAAAAAATGAAAGGCTAGAGTCTGAGTATGGTGTGATTGGAAACTTTTAGAAATGAGCTCCCTGTCCTCTAGGATTTCTTGATGTTCTAACTCTCATCTTAGAAATATCCCCAGTTGTACTTCTGTTTGGTTTTAGGTCTGTGTAAGGGCATTCCTCATTCAAGATTCTGAACATCTGTTTGCAGCATGGGATCCATGAAGGTGTTGCTTGGACTCGGCAAACTTTAGTGGAGAAGGAACGCTTTTCAAATTTGTTTTAAATAGTGCTTTAATATGACACCATCCCACATTTTATTTATTTTATTTTATTTAAAAATTTTTTAGTTAATTGTAATATTTTTGAGAGAGGAAAGAGAGAGAGAGGGAGTGAGGGGCAGAGACATAGGAAAACACAGAATCTGAAGCAGGCTCCAAGCTCTGAGCTGTCAGCACAGAGCCCGATGTGGGGTTCGAACCCATGAAACGTGGGTCAGGTGCTCAATCAACTGAGCCACCCAAGCGCCCCTGACACCATCCAAAATGTTAAATATGACTAGTTTTTGTTGCTATTGCTAAAATAACTACCTTTATGATATTAATCTAGTGTTTGCTGGGCACATTACTAATAGTCTATGAAGTCAAAGTTCAGTTTCATTACTTTAATTATAGCAGAATAACCAGTATCAAACTAGGACCCAATTGTCATCTATGTCCGAATCACTTTGAGCTTCCTGAGTTTTGTTTTGTTTTTCCTTGAGACTACAGTCTCATGGGGGTCCCTGGGTGGCTCAGTCTCAGTTAAGCATCTGACTTTTGATTTCGGCTCAGGTCATGATCTCACTATCCATGGGTTTGAGCCCTGCATTGGGCTCTGTGCTGACAGTGCAAAGCCTACTTGGGATTCTCTGTCTCTCTCTGTCTCTGCCTCGACCTCTCTGTCTCTTCTCTCTCTCAAAAAGTTAATAAATAAACACTAAAAAAAGACTATCGTTTCATGGAAATTTTACACCAAGCCATTGACTACCTATTAGGGCTTGACATTTGCCAAGCACTGTGACAGCACAATATCTGGCACATTTTCTTTCTTTTTAAAAAAATTTTATTATTATTATTATTATTATTATTATTATTATTATTTTATTTTAGAGAGTGCGACCTGAGGAGAGGGACAGAGGGAGAGGAAGAGAGAAGCCCAAGTAGGCTCCATGCTCAGTGCAGGGATCCCACAAGCCTGGGATCATGACCTGATTCAAAATCAAGAGTCAGATGTTCAACCGACTGAGCCACCCAGGCGCCCCAGCACATCTTCTTAATAGAAATGCGGTGGGTGAGAATGAAGTGTGTGTACGCACACTCATGGCATACACACCTACGTGTCATGTAGAGAGGGCAGACCATGATATATGTTTTAACGTTTGTGTAATATATTGCCCTGAGAGAGAGAGAAAAACAGTCACATGTAAGAATTGCTAATTCAGAGTTGGACTGTCCATGAGAGGCTATGGTTAGGGGTCCCCACGGTGGGCCTGCACAGCCCCTGCACCGTCCACACTGCTGAAAGCATTGAATTGCCTGTATACCAGTGAACCTGTGGTGAGAGAGCGCTTAGTGAGAAGTACCTGCAAATCACAACCATGTGTCGCCCGAGGCCCCCCAGAAACACGGACCGTGCATTGGCTTGTGCAGGTGAGCCATGGGAAAGGGCTTCGAGCCCCTGCCCTGTGTGGCTTCACACTTACCCTCCATCAGTTTGATCCTGAAGTAGGCGATGAGGAGGAGCAGCAGCAAAGTCATAGGCAGGAAGACCCCAGCGAACAGGAACCAGCCGGGGAGCTCCCTCAGGAATGAGGACAGCACAGGGCTCATTCCAATCACCCAGCCCCCGGGGGCCAGTTGACAGCAGCTTCACTCAGAGTCTGTATTTGTTTCCTTCTGGGCCTCCGGCCTTTGCTCAGCACATCTCAGTGGAAATCTTGTGGACTTTGCTCTATTTCAACAGCCCTGTGAATGCTGAGAGGCTTGCTAGTGGGTTACTCTGTAACTCAGCTACGAAGGGTGGAGGAATTGAAATGCGATTCTTCCAAACCATTCCAGAGAGGAGCATTTATCTGGCAGGGTGAGGAATGACACCAGGAGGCCGAGATTCCTTTGTATTCAGTTTGTCTGGAAGGAATAGTACCTGACTCCAAGCTAATCTCATTGTTACATATATTCTACTTACATATGCCCAGGCATGGGAAGAATTTTTCGTGCATTTTCTTAATTTCAGAGTTGAAAATTACTTAGTAGCCATGTGTATGTACCTGTGAACCTGTGTCTAGAAAAAATGGATTTTCCTTCACACGTAGTTGATACAACTAATATCAAGGAAGCAGGAACCATATTCTTTCCATAGGTAAAAACTCCTCCTAGTATGTCCTGCTCTGAATAGTTTTCTGAGAGGTGCACTTGGTGTATGTATATATTCAATAAATATTTAATTCTACTGCATGGCAATGCGAAAGAATGAAATCTGGCCTTGTTTAGCAACATGGATGGACCTTGAGGGTGTTATGCTGAGCGAAATAAGTCAGGCAGAGAAGGACAAATATCATGTTTGCACGTATAGAAGGATTAGGAGGAACTTAACAGAGGACCACGGGGGAGAAGGGGGGAAAGGGAGAGAGGCAAACCATGAGAGACTCTTGAATGCTGAGAACAAACTGTGGACTGATGGATGTGGGGGGGAGGGGGGGATGGGCATGGAGGAGGGCACTTGGGATGAGCACTGGGTGTTATATGGAAACCAACTTGACAATAAACTATTTGCAAAAATAAATAAATAAATAAATAAATAAATAAATAAATAAATAAATATTTAATTCTACTAGAATCCAACCTCTTGGCTAGATGCTGGATGTACCAAGAATAGTAAATCATGGTGTCTGCCTTCTAAGAGAGGAAGCAGACACAAAAAGAAGTAATGGCCCCAAGCGAAAGTGATGGAATGGATGCTTTTATGGCCCCTTTTCCTTCGTCCCTCAATGCATCAGCTTTTGCCTCCTGCCTTATTAGTTTGTATTCCTAATTATCTTCTACTTACACAGTTCTGTGGCCCACCATTAGCAGTAGAAAGGTGGCCTCTGAATGATAGTGTTGTGGTTTGAGTGGTAACTACAAAGATTCTGGGAAAAGAAAAGGCAATAAATGATGTTGACGCTGACTTGTTCACTAAGTTGAGTTGCCACTGGCAAGAGATGGGTCTACTGCACTCAAAGCAATGGAAAGAATCCTTGCCATAATGAAAGAACCCTCTGGAGAATTTGGGAAATTGGGAGGAGAAATTGACAAGCCACCTTCTTGGGTTCATGTCTCTTCTCACGTGCTAGTGCTATCCCACACACAGCCTTAATCCTCCTATAAACTCGACACCCTAATTTATAAAATCATAAGAATGAGGAGCGTCTCTGGGATGCGTGGCTGGCATTTCTAAGCAGTGAACAATAAACAGCTTCCTCTCAGAGGAGAGACATCTTAATTGCAGGAAGAATCATTTAGAATAGCCAAGATTAGGTCAGCATCCGTCGTACTTTATTTGCTTCTCTTCTCCCCCTCGACAAACCCTTGAGTGGTGCTGCTGTTTCTTCTCTTGAGTGCTTTCCAACGAGATGGCTCTCTGGTGCTCTCTCAGCTTGAACAGGAGGCTAATTTGTAAAGTGTCAGTCTACAAAGAAACACCATGAGCAGGTGACATTACCAGGGAGATGTTAGGCAGCTGTTAGGCAGACGATTTGTCATGTTCTCTCTTTCCGTTTCATTCCATTCAACATTCAAGCCTTCACTGAATGCCTAGAAAAGGTAAGTAAGAGTAACAGGCAAATATAGAAATGATATTAATATAAGCTCCTGGGGTGGCATATAAAGTGGAAGGGAAGCATTGAAAAGAGACTGATTAACTCCAGTTAGGGAATTAGGGCCAAGTTCATGAAAAGGATTGTATTTGAGCTGAGTTTGGGGATGGAGAACTGAGGAATGACGCCCTTAAATAAACACGTGACAGTCTTCTACAGTGTAGATGGGACTTCTTAGAGAACAGATGGTGACTGGGGCCAAGTAGGTGGAGAGATCGCTCAGGAAAGAGGGTGCATGAAGATAAAATAGACGCCAGTTGCATACCCTAAAGAACAGTGTCACTTAGGGGTGCCCTGGTGGCTCAGTGGCTTAAGCATTCTACTTCAGCTCAGGTCATGAGCTTACAGTTTGTGGGTTCAAGCCCCACGTCAGGCTCTGTGCTGACAGCTCAGACCCTGGAGCCTACTTCGGATTCTGTGTCTCCCTCTCTCTCTGCTCCTCCCCAGCTCACATTCTGTCTCTTTCTGTCACTTATGTTGAAAACACAAACAAAAAAAATGCTCCGACTTAAGACATGGGAAGCAGGGTGAGAACCAGGGGAGAAAACCAGAAGGCTCTGCGGGGTGGGAGAGGAGCCCACAGGATGCAGTGTTGGGAAATGTTTGCAAAGAAACTTACAAGAAGGGGAGGGTGAGCAGTGGTGTCAGTTACTGGCTGTGAGCTAATTCTGATCCACATGGAAATTTCTAAGAGAGCACAATTGGTGAAGTGGATATAAAGTTTTTTCTTTTCTTAAAAAGGCTCTTTTGGAATATAATTGATAAAATAAACCGTACGACTTGATACGTTTTGTATGTATATGTCTGCAACCTCATCATCATAATCAAAGGATGAACCCACCCCCCCAAACAGTTTTCTCTTGTTCCTTTCCCATGTCTGCTCCTACCCTCCTGCTCGCCCAGTCCCCAGTCAACCATCGACCTATTATCTGTTACTATATATGTTTGCATTTTTTAGAATTTTATACACATGGAGTTATACAGCATATCTCTTTTTTTTCTAGCTTCTTTCACTTAGCATATGTCTTTTGAGTCGATCATATTGTTGTATGTATCAATATTGCTTTATGTTTCTGAATAGCATTGCATTGTGTACGTATCCACTTTTTACCCATTTGCCTTTTGGTGGCCATTTGGGTTGTTTTCCATCATAGGCTACTACAGATATAGCTGCTATGAACATTCCTGCACAATTCTTTTTTTTTTTTTTAATTTTTAAGAAATGTTTATTTATTTTTAGAAAGAGAGAGAGCACACGCAGGAGAAGGGCAGAGAGAGGGAGACACAGAATCCAAAGCAGGCTCCAGGCTCTAAGCTGTCAGCACATAGCCTGATGCAGGGCTTGAACCCACAAACCATGAGGCCATGACCTGAGCTGAAGTCTGACGCTTAACTGATGGAGCCACCCAAGCGCCCCTCCCCCAATTCTTTAGGTGGACATCCACTCTCATTTCTCTTGGGTAGACTCCTAGGAACAGAATGGCTGGATCATATGGTGAGTGTTTGTTTAACTTCTTAAGTAATTGTCAACCTCTTTTCCAAACTAAGTCATACCATTTATATCTCTACCAGCAGTGTAATAAGAATTTTAATTTTGGGGCGCCTGGTGGCTCAGTCAGTTAAGCGTCCAACATCTGCTCAGGTCATGATCTCTCAGTTGGCGGGTTTGAGGCCCCTGTTGGATTCTGTGCTGACAGCTCAGAGCCTGGAGCCTGCTTCGGATTCTATGTCTCCCCCTCTCTGTCCTTTCCCTGCTTATGGTCTGTCTCTCTGTCTCTGTCTCAAAAATAAATAAACATTTTTAAAGTTTAAAAAAAAAGAATTTTAGTTTCTTCACATACTGACACTTGCTATGTTTTTTGTGTTTTTTTTTTTTAATTTTGGCCATTCTAATGATATGTAGTAGTCTCCCACTGTGGTTTTAATATGCATTTCCCTAATGATGTCGAACATCTTTTCATGTGCCTATTTGCCATTTTATGTGTCTTATTTGTGAAGTGTCTGTTCAACACTTTTGCATGTTAAAAAATTGGATTATTTGTTTTCTTATTGAGTTTTGAGAGTTCTTCATATATTCTGGATACAAGTCAATTATCACACATATGATTTGGAAGGATTTTCCCCCGTTCTAGCTTTGTCTTTTCATTCACTTACCAATGTCTTTGAAAACACAGAGATTTTAAATGTTAGTGAAGTCCAGTTAACCAATTTATTCTATGGTTTGTGCTTTTCACATCCATACCTAAGAAATCTTTGACCAACTAACTCAATGTCACAAAGATTTTCTCTTATGTTTTCCTCTAAAAGTTTTGTCATTTTAGCTTGTACATTTAGGATTATGATCTATTGTAAGTTAGTTTTTGTATATGGTGAGATATGTGGGTACATTTTTTTTGCATACAGATATTCAATTATTTCAGCACAATTTGTTGCAAAAGCTGTTCTTACTCCTTAATTGCCTTTGCACCTTTGTCAGAAACCAGAAGCCCAATTATTGCTCACTCTGTATTCTGCTCCATTCATCCAGTTATTAGTCTTTATACCAATGTCATTCTGTTTTGATTACTGTATCTTTATTTTTTAATTTTTAAAATTTTTGATTTATTTTTGTGAGAGAGTGCGTGTGCATGAGCATGAGCAGGGGAGGGACAGAGAGAGAGGAGAACAGAGGATCCAAAGTAAAGTGGCAGCAGAGAGCCTGATGTATAGCTCAAACTCATAAACTATGAGATCATGATCTGAGCCCAAGTCAGACACTTAACAAATGGAACCACCCAGGGACTCCAATTACTGTAGCTTTAAAATAAGACTTGAAATCAGGAACTCTAAGCCCTCCAACTTTGTTCTTTTTCAAAGTTGGTTTGGCGGGTACAGGTCATTTTCATTTCTGTATGAATTTTAGGATCACCTTGCCAATTTCTGTGAAAAGCCCTGCTGGGATTTTGCCTGAGATTGTATTGAATGAGTAAATGAAGGGAGAATCAATATGAGGAAAGAACTGATATTTTAACAATATTGAGTCTTCTGACCCATGAACACGACACATGTTTCCATTTTGTTTGGGTCTTCTTTAACTTTTCACAATGCTTTGTTAGTTTGCAGTGTGTGAGTCTTAAATATTTTCTGTCAGATTTATGTGTATTTAATATTTTTATGCTATTGCAGAGTATTGCTTTTTAGATTTTGATTTGTGATTATTGCTAGTATCAAAGGTTTTTTCAATTATGAAAGATGTCACACCACTGGGAACTTCTAGAAGATTAAATATTAGAATTAATTCAAACATCCTTTAGAACTTGGGAACTTTTATTTATTAAGGCTCTGATCCCGATCCAAACTCGTTGCTTGGGGCTGCATTTGGTAGGCATAGCAGCTGTAGGAGGATGGGGATGTTGGAAACACTGGTAATTGACTTGATTTACCAGAATTCAGGGTGGAATTCCACAGGCGGCGTTCAATTTCCAACCAAAATGACAGCAAATTCTTTACCTGGCTCTTTACCATGTAGTAGGAAAAATCATTAATACCATTAGAAAATATACATCTGTGAAAACTGAGGGACATAATACGTTGGGGATTATACTCTCCTATTGATTTCCATAATAGTGAATGCTCCCATTGCTGATTTCAGGGTTATTTAAGAAACAAGTGATTGCAGATGTTGAGATTTGGGAATAAAATTACTAGGGAACCACTCATTTACCACCTATTATATTCTTGGTGACAGCTGGGCAAAATCTGTCCTTAGATAATTGTGACTTATTGAAGGTAATACCAAACCCACCAAGTTTCTGATTTGGATTCTGCATTAGTCTGCCTGAGCCATTAAGAATGACTCATTCTAATGACCTATGAGTCAAAAGCCTACCTTAGGTACTTGTGACCTATGATAGATAATACCAAACCCATGAGACGCCTGATTTGGATTCTACATTAGTCTGATGGAGCCATAGAGAATGACTCATTCCAGTGACATGCCATAGGACAGTGAGAGTTCTGAAGTCCATTAGTGGAAGGTGCCAAAGTGCCATTGACTGATAGCTGGGATATCAAATTATGTACAGCTACAAAACCAATAGAGAAACTTAAGTACAAACAAAACTAGTGAATATCAAATAAAGTGCTTTGCCTTAATTATGTGCATGATGTTTGGCTCAGATGAAGCAGTGCCCACAATGTAAATGTAGAACTGACAGCTCTTTTGAGTAGGAAAAAACCTATATACTTCTGCCCCATGTCAACCGCCCCTCCTAGCTTGGCCCATAACTAAGTACTATTACATGGCACAAATATGAAAGTCAACACAAAAATCAGTGCTCTGAAATCATGTAGCAGTAATGTGTTATAGGGTGCACATCCCATTAAAAAAAAATGATCACAGATGAGACATAAAGAATTTAAATTCTTTGTAAACTTTGAAAAAAGGCCCACCAGCTTTTATTTATTCATACTTGCAGGTAACAAATATTTATTGAGGGATATGCCCTGCAGGCACTGATTTGGGAACTATGTACATATCCGTGGATAGGACAAAGTCCCTGTCCATATAGAACTTAACATTCCAGTGGAGTAAACAATCAATAAGCAATAGTAGGTAACAGTTATTGAATGCATATATTATTCTAGTAATAGTCGTAGCATTTCATGTGTTGTATCTCATTATGGTCTTACATCAATGCCTATGAAGTAAGTACCATTTTCACCATTCTACAGACAGAAAACCTCCTGGAGTTTTTATAACCCATCAAGGATTACACGACTAGAAAGTTGCAGAGCTAGGATTTGAACCCAGAGTCCAAACACTTTTCCTTGGTACTCTACTCTTCTGCTTCTCAACCTTCTAGAAATAGACATATATAATGTTAAGTAGTGATCAGTGCTCTTCAAAGAGTAAAGCAGGACAAGAAAATAATAGGAAGTGCTCATTTTAGCTGTGGTGATCAGGGAAGTTGTATTGCCCTGCTAGGGCTGCCATAGCAAAATACCCAGACTGGCTGGCTTACATAACAGAAATCTATTTCTCAAGAGTTCTGGAGGCTGGAACTCCAAGATAAAGATGTTGGCAGAGTTAGTTTCTGCTGAGACCCTTCTCCCTGGCTTGTAGACATGGCTGCCTCCTAGCTGTGTCCTCTTCCCTGTGCACAGATGCTCCTGGTGTCTCCTCCTCTTCCTAAAGTGTACCAGGTGTATTGGATTTGAGTCACCCTTATGACCAATGATACCTTAATTATTTCCTTAAAGGCCCTAGTCACCTTGGGGGGTTAGGGCTTCAACATATGAATTCTGGGAGGGAACACAGTTCATAAGTTTCTCTCGAAAGCTTGACTTTTGAGCCAAATGAAGTGAAAAAAGGAATCACGTGCATAGTTGGAGGAATAGAGCTAAGCAGAGGGAATAGGAGACACTAAATTTCTGAAATGGAAATGTTTCTGGGGTGATTGAAGATAGATAAGGTCACCTATTGTGACTGGAGCACATTGAGAAAGAGGCCAAGTGATAGAAAACACACTTTTGAGAAATATTGATCTAGATACTTGACAACACTGACAATAGGCCAAGAAAGTGTGCCCATAGTCTAATCTCTGAAACTCTACCACAATTTATTAAACATTGCCTGGAAAGTGGTTAAATATAGAGAATACTGGGGTAAGTAAGTTTCTTTTATTGCAAGATTTTATAGAGCCTTTAATTTGTTATCCCGAGAGGAATACTGCAGGAGTCTTTTCCAAATTTACTGGACCGTCAAGTCCTTTTGCCAGGAGACTATCAGAGGATTAAGGTCTCCAGACCATGCTTTTGGGTATGGGCTACTGGGTAAGGAGATTCGTCCTGCTGCTCCGAACATGAAACTTATTCCTAAGTATCAACATACATGTTTGAGACTCTTAGGTAGGAAATAGTGGATAAGGAAGAAATTA